TAAATGCTCGTACTTCTCATAAGGCCAAAATCTGTATGATAAAATTTTAACAATAAAGCCTAGAACAACAATTTATGCAGTTTCAAGTGCATAAAGGGAGAAAATGTAACAAACTGTGTATCACATCAGAAGGAATAGAACAACCCTCTACGCGTAGGTTTTGTGGATAAAACATTCCATTGTTCACTAGCAATGATTCTTGTTTTGGACTTGGTTTCAATTGTAAGATACAATCAATTCTAAGCTGTAATTCTACTTTGAACAAGTAAAAATGAGTTTTAAAAATTTGTTTTCAAACTGAGGAAATACAGTATTTATATTTCTGCTCTAATTTGGAAGTTGAAAATATTAAAAGAATGGACAATACAAGACTATCAAAACTCAATTATTAATCAATAAAAATTAAGCTTCAAATTTGTTGGAAAACATCTATACAGTTGGTATCCAAAATCACAAAAGAAACAATCTTCTATGTTATTCAACGAAATGAAGCAGGAAACTATCCAATCCATAACTAAATCAATGATGATAATGATTATAGCTAAACCTAGCATAAACCAATATAAATAAATAACATAAATTTATTTATATCCATTTGATTAAAAACATTCATTTAAAAAATATATTTTAAAAATATCTATCTAATCTGTATTTCAAAATATTGAAAAAGTGTAAAGTTTAAAAATACTACCAATATAAATAAATTTGCATTAGTTCCTACATTTATCTTTATTTTCATTTTAAGTCAAAAGTATAAAAAAGTATTGCAAATTTTAACTTTAAAATTAAATTACCAGTTCCATCTAGAAAAACATCTTCTGTATCATCCATTACATGACGCACAATGTGATCAGCAAAACGCAAATCTTCAGTTGTAAGATGGAGCTGATTTCTTAGCTCCAAATCAATTATTTCCATTTTTACTTCATCAATCTATTAGAATATATATTATTTGTTTGAAACTTTATAGGCAACTTAAAAAATTATTTATTTAATACTGATATTTTAAGCAGAATTAAATAATCCACCAGTGGCCAAACCACAAACCCCACAATTCATGTGACTTGCTCGTCCACTGTCAGTGTACCAGAAATGTGCACCAGGACTGTCCACTGATTGAACATGATGCCTCCCTAAACCATGATTCTCTGTATAGAGCTGGTGTGATACATAGCAAAAAAAGCTGGCACATAGTGTTCCCCAGNTTTAATATTTATACTTCTCATTTTACCAAATGCCTAACTACCCAAGGTTCAAATTCCCAACTTCTTTTCTTATATGAATCAGGTCATGTGCACTAGGATATGGTTGTGGATACTGCAATAGTTTTAATTTATTTCATTTTTTACACAGATGGCAATTTGTAAAAATATTAATGCTTCTGTTTTAATTTATTAGTAAATTAATTTATTACATATATATTATTTTATTGTTATGCTGGAATATAAATATGACTGGAAGTCAAAAACATGCTCCTAAAATAATTGCATGTTGGATTGCACAACCATTGCTTCATTATTTGCTGCCATAAATTATAATTTGGTGCACAAATCTGCTAAAAATGCATTCAATCTCTCACATAATAGCTACTCCTATCAAGATGGTGCTCAACAAAACAAAATCAACTGTATGTGATTTATATGATCTGTATATGACTGTATATGATTCATCAATGGTGAATTATATACAGAGACATCACTGTCTATCACAGTGATGGACATATAATACTGTACAGTCAACCCTCCTATAACACAGTAGATACGTTCCAGTTTTTATGAATCCATTTTCTACGAGTCCAGCCAATCACATCCCAGCACGTATGCAGTTTATGGACTATGGCTGTTTGAAAGGTTTCTTCCATAAAATTAATCAATTCTAGACTAATTCGACTCAACATTTCTAAAATATGTATCATTTTTTGGGAATAATCCATATAAACTATGCTATAAACAAAAAATTGTAGGATTACTTCTTACCGAGTGTGCACCGTTCGACCACACCATTGCTTAAGCTTGTTTTTGTCATGGAGCTTGTCATCGAATGGCGCTCATGTGCTTCCTGATAAATTGTTTTTTTTGCAAAAAATTCGCTGAACTTTGGAGACATCATTAATATAAATATAATTTTTATGGCCGTTAAACAATAAATGGTTTTTAGTAGGTCCGCTGCTCATTTAAACTCAACAGTTTGTGCAATATCCACTATTGGTCTAGATTCGACCAATCCTGTAGCGACACGAGTTGGTGATGACGTTTTACTGAATTATAGGAGTTTTTTTAGCATGTTTGTATGAATACTGTCGCAATTTTTTCGCCGTGATATAGGAATCCGAACTATACGAACCCGTGTTATAGAGGGGTTGACTGTATACTGAAAACTACCAGATAATACAAATAAAAGTGCAGAACATCTACACGGTAAACTAAATATTAACTATAAGTTAACTCAAAGTTAACAATATCAACTTATATTTATATATTTAATTGGTCAAGTTATGACATACTGAATCTGACATCACTTGATTAGTACAGATCTATCTTTTTGTGTCAATTTTCAAACTAACTAAAAACACAAAACTATAAAATTTAAATTTGCCAGTATGTTTAATGAAATTACAACTTTGTCTTCTTCAGGAAGTTGAAGTTATAATTTCATTATACTTTAAATTTTATACTAGGATGGTCAAATATTGTAACAATTGAAGCCAATATATAGCCTATCAGAAAGACATAAGAGCTGCATCCTCTATTGGATTGTTATTTTATATTATACAGAGTAAGTGGAAAGTAACCAGATATTGAGAAATTGCTATAATTTTTATAATAATAATAATGCAATAATAATAAAATTGGTTTGTACAGTACATGTACATCAATCAATGGAATTTTATAATTTCTGCATTGTTGGTGTGAGCAGTGACCAAGAGAAGCTGCATATGCAGTGGCAAAAAGGATGGCTGAATGCTATGCTGTTCAGGAGTAANGATTGGAAACTGAGGGGTTAAGAACAAGTAAATGTTTGTCATTAAGGTGTAATTGTTCAAGTTATATGAAATACTGGGGGAAAAAAGTCATTATTATATTTACAGATTACCTAGATGTGTTAATAGGTATAATTGAGTGAAGTTCTTTATTATCTGCAGGTTAAACAAATTTCAGAAACATTCATGAAATTTGTTTCATGTAACTGCTGCAAGATATCAAAATATCTGTTTCACATAAATGCTGTATATCAAAATTTTTTTAGAATTTTTGGTGTCTGGAGCATTGATGGGTAAGATTCAAGCTCTGAATGAGGGGTTTCGCACTCCCTATACGAGCAAACAATGCACAACCTGATTTTGGAGGAGGTATTTGCAAAGTCTCTTGTAGACACATGGTTCTTTACTCTTTTGCTCCTGTGGGTATGATCTACAGCTCTGACACAGATAGGATCTTATCATTCAGAGCTTGAATTGTACTCATTGACATTATCCCAATAAAAATGTTTCAAATCATCTGCTAAATTCTTTTAAATGATTCAAGTCAATGTCAATTATTGTGAAATATTTATTAAATGAGAACAGGCAAGACATCTGCCATCATTTACTTTTTTCTAGAAAACCGTTTGTGGTAATGATTCGAACGCAATCAAATGGTTTTAATATATTTTTTAAAGTTTTAGTCTTCGCAACATCGTACAGTAACTGGTATCAAATTACAATACGTGTTTGTTTATTTAAGTAAGATTTATCAAAATTGTTTCAAAACAAACAATTAAAGTCATGGCAATGCAACACTTTGGTGATCTGCATAGGGGGATGCCTTCTGGGATTTTTTTTTAAAGGTAACTGAGTTACAGACATGGAGTAAACTCTGGTCGCCAGGATTGGCTGGCCACATGAACTCCCAGTGTTCAGGGAACAGAACCACTTGGTCACTGGTGGCTCAAATTTTATTTCATCCACTGAAATTGTTTCATCATTTAAATCTAATGAGAAAACTTCAAAAATGATATAAATTGATATATGTGATGCCAACGAAATGATATATAGTATTTACTTTTCTGGCTGTTATATATGAGAGAAAGTATGGCAATCAGCCAAAAAATAATCCTAAATTTTTAAACATCGCTAAACCCGATGTAATATAGCTAATCACCAAACATATGCCGTAAATCCATCGGGCTAGTTTTAAGGCTAATTACTAAATAAATTACGGCATATGTTTGGTGATTAGCTAAATTTTTAATTTTTGTACTCTGGGATCTTGAAATGTCGAGAAATGAAAATGGAAAAAAATTTTTTTTTGGATATTTGTGTGGGGACCACAATTTTGTTCACCCACTTTAAAGCTTACCTCCCGTGATTTTTGTCGAAAATGTCCGAAATTTTGCAGGGAGGGTTGCGTATTAGATCGATACTATTAAATGTTGGGGGTAGGAGATAGAGGTGGATCTCAAAGAATCGGACTTAAATGACGATTTTACTAGTTATTGGCATTTACAATTTTTGTTTTTATAAAACTCGTCCCACCCTCATAATTAAACTTTTGCTATTTTGTAACAGTTAAAAATATTAAAAATTTTTTAATAAAATATCATAATAGGTGATGCCACACACAGTTTTAAATGTTTCCAAAAAGGCTTAGCAATCATTGTTGGATTTTTACTAGGGTAAAGCTGATATTTTATTCCCACTAAAGATCTATAAAAACGTGCTTTGTTTTCCTCAAAATAGTGAAATCACTTAAAATATTTACCAGTGAAACATGTAGCTGCGCCTTTAATTACAGTAATTTATTATCGCAAACGAAAGCCACACAACTTGATATTTCAGGTGAATATGACCAGAAACCTCCCATAACATGACGGACAAATTGCATTAGAGAAAACAGGCACTTTGACATGAAACCGCTATTTTAATACTTGTTTACTTTGAAGTTAACTATTGATTCCATGTTGAGTACAGAACGGCTATTTTAGAAAAGTTTGTTTGGATGAAAAAACAGAAACAGAGACTATTTTACAAAGTATTTAATTTTTATTTTAGGTAAACATGACTTTTACCGCCAAAATTGAATTTATGTAGAAAGGCGTCCACGGTTGGAAAATGCAAATTACTGGCAGTTTTTATAAATATATCCCACTTAATGGGCTCTGCACATCTGTTGTTCAAAAAAAGATATTTTTCCCTTTTGACAAATGGGAAAACACAATATCCTGAAGACCGTCATTTAATCGATTCCCTACAATGGAGGCTGGAAATGCTCCAGTAAAGAAGAGTCGCCAGCTATGAAACTTAAATACCGTTTCTTTGTCTTGTCTGGGATGACCCATTTGCTTCCTTGCGGACCTGATTGCCCTGTTTCCACCTCTGCAGAAATTATTTTGCTTCAGACGCATCCATACTCATACCAGACGGAGTCCTCTTTCTTCCCTTCCGGTGCCGGAGGAGTAGGCTCGCGTGGACTCCCATCCACCTCTGAGGTGTCAGATTCCACGACTGTCGAGTTCCGCGGCATCCCAACTGTGACCTCAGCCGGGCGCTTGCTCAGGGTCGTGGTCAAGTTGACTGTGGTGTGGTTCTCCAGAGTCGTCGTTCGACTCGGCGCCATCAGAAGCCCCTCTTCCGGACCCGGCCCAGGAGGCGAGGGACCAGAGTCCCGCACTGGAATGTAGTCTTCTGTGTCTTCCGTTCCCGGGCGGCTGCCTGTCTTTCTCCGGGACGACCTGCCGCCCCCGCTCCCCTCTGAGTCTTCCTCCTGCCGCTTGGTTGCCTTCTTGTTCTGTTTCCTCTTGGCAGAGTCAGTGCGGCGATGGCAGCGTTCCCGCACTGCCCTTTCCAACTGTTCTTTCTGTTGCCATAACTCGCGCAACCTTTCCTTCAATAGCACGTCTTCTCTTGACGGCCGGCCCTGCTGCTTCAGCACTTGTGACAGCAGCTCATGGTATTGCACCAGCAGCAGTGATAGTTGGGCCACTGCAGCCTTCTGTTCTTCCTCCAGGGCATTGTTTCTTTCAGTGAGGGCCTCGCAGCGACCGGCCAGCCGGGTCGTCTCCAGCCCCTGGGTGGTCAGCTGTCCCCTCAGTTCCTCACACTCACTGTTCAGACGTTCATTCTCAGCCCGCAGGGTTTCCAACCCTCTCTGCATCATTCCCTGTTCCTCCAGGAGTCGCTCATAGCGGTCCTGTGTTGCCTTGGCCCGTTCCTTGACACTCAGGTGGTCTGTTTTCAGGGTCTTGTAGGTTAACTTAAATGAGGCAAAACTGGAAAGTAGAGAATCAAAGTCGGACGACAGCTGTTGGTGTAATGACTGCAGGGTCTTTTGGTCTTTTATCAGGGACTCATTGGCCTCCTGTGTCTCGCGCTGCTTCTGTTTCAGCCGCCCACACTCGGCCTCCAGAGATGCAGTTTCTGCCTGTAGACGAGAATTCTGGGTGGAGACGGTGTCGTGACGTGACTCCAGCAGTGACATTTCCACCTCCAGTTTGGCCAGTGAAGCTTGCAGTTCAGCATTGTGCTCAACTGCTGCCTTCAAGCTCTCTTCCAGATTGTCCGTCTGCATATTCTTCTTGTCATTCTGCTCAATCAGTGTGACGTTCTCTTCCAACAGTTTTCTATTCTCTTCCTCCAGCTCCGTCATCCTCTGGTCCAGTTCAGAAATGAGTGATTTGAGACGCAGAATGTGTCCAGTAGCATCATTGCCATCGTCATCATCTGGCAGCTCAATCTCTCGTCTGGGGACTGCCCGACATTCGGAAGACTGCATCCTCTCCTCCTTTTTGGAAGTGGGAGCAGGCAGACTTTTCTCCATCTTCAGAGCCGCATTGATCTTCTGAAGATCGCCAGCCAACTGCTGACACTTGAGCTTCTCATTAACCAGCTCTTCCTGCAGTGATGACAATGTTTTCTTCTCTACTGATGTTTGCTGCAGCAGCTCCTTGTTCTCTCTTTCTAATTCTTGCAACTGGGCTGTCAGCCGTGTGCAGTTTTCACTTTCTTTCTGCAGTTGTTGGTTTTTCTGTTCTATTAGTGACAACTTAGACAGATACTCATCAATGGTGCATTCCTTGGCCTCCATCAACTGTTTCAGCTTGGCATTTTCCTTCTCCAGAGATCTCTTCTCCTGTTCCAGAGCCTGCTTGGTGGAGTTCAATCCCATTGCCTCTCTCTCCAATTCATGCAGTTTTGGTATAGACAGCTTCAAAGTGTCTAAAGTCTTATTTAGTTTTCTGTTTTCATTCTCAAGTCCCTGTAGCTCTTCCTGTATTTCTTCTAGTTTTATCTGGTTGGTTTCCACAACCCTCTGCAGCTTTTGATTTTCTGTAGTCAAAGCATTAACTGTCCTTTCCATCTGTTCACAATGTGCCTGATCCACTTTCATGTTCTGCCTCATCTCCTCTACTAACTTTTCTAGTTCACGCTTGTGTGTTTCCAGATCAACCACACATGGCTTCTGCTCATCCTCTGCAGATTCCCTGTTGCAATTTTCAACCAGCATCCTCAACCGACGATTCTCCAGTTCCAGCTGGAGGGCCCTAGTCTGTGCATCTGTGTTTATTTGCTCTAACAGGCTATCATCCCTAGAGGGTACATCTTCATTTCTGGCTCGAAATAGCTCTGCCTGCATCTTGGCTAACTCTTCAGCTGCAGTCTTCCTGTCCACCTGAAGTCTGGCATTTTCCTCCAAGAGTTCCTGGATCTTCTTCTGATCCAACTCTCTTTGTGAAACCATGTCCTTCAGTCGACTGCTAACCTTTCTCATCTCAGCCTCCAGTTCAGCCATCTGCTCAGTCTTCTTTCCATTTCCTTCCAGTTGCTCTTCCAACATCAATTTTGTCTCCACCAAGATTCTATTATCCTCACGCAGCTCTTCCACTCTGGACTTGTAAAAGTCCAATTCATTCAGTTTCTCCCGATACTTGTGGATCTCACTTTCCAGGCGATCCATCTTTCGAACTCTCTCGGTCAGAATGTCTATTTCATCTCGGTAGGCAACAGCAGTCCGTGCCTCCTGTATCAGTTCCAGATTTTCCTGACGTAGGCGGTTGACTGCATCCCTGGATTCTTCCAGTTCTTCCTTGGCTTCAGTCAGGGACTCATTCTTCTCCTCCAGCTCCTGTTGCATCTTTCTCAGCTTGGACTTTACATCAGCCAGCTCCACCATCAGATGGGGCTTCTCAGGACCTGGTGCACCCTTCCCAGTCTCTCCTTCCTGGTCCACAGTCAGATTGACTATCCTCTCAGCCAACTCATCCCTCTCTTTAGTCAGACTGCGCAGGTGCCGGACACATAGGGAGTACATGTGGTCATGTTCTTCAGTAGGAAGCATCTGCAGGTCACTCCACTCAGCACTCCAGACAGCCTCTGGATTATCAGCTATCCTCTGGATGCATTCCATGATGGTATGCTGTGAAGTGACATCAAGAGTTTTGATGCGCTCAATGAAAAACTGCTTGCGTTCACACTGCACAGCTGAGCTGAGAACAAGCAGGAGGAGTGTCTGCATCTCAACCACACTGGCCTCATCAGGACCTCGGGCTAACAACAAGATGTCTGGCACGCCAGTGACCAGCAGCTGGCCCAACACATCCTCATAGAAGGCCTTGATGTTGTGCAGAAGAAGGTCCAGGTTGCGCAGCCGGGAACATCCATCTTCACCAGCGGGAGCCACACCCCTGAAAGGAGGATGGGGATCAATCTGCAGCCAGACATTGTATAGGAGAATGCCATCTCGCAGCTGATCATAGGAAAGGGGTTTGGAGTCTTCGTCCTCAAAAGTCTTGATCCATGTCACCAGCGGGCTGCGCATGAATTGGTCAAGCACGGGGCTGGCCATCCTGTTGCTGGACACGGCATCCGCACCTGTGAAAAAAAACAAACACACTACAAAACAGAGTTGAGGAAAGTTAATTCTGTAATTGCATCCACAGCATAGTCTAATTGGCAACTCCTACATTTTGATATTGGTTATTAACAAAAACACTTTTAAAACACAAAAACACAATTAAAATAATTCCATGAATTTTTAAATTTTATCAAATGAAAACAAACCCCATGATATTATATTCTGTGCCATCAGAGCTTTTGTTTCTCTAACAATTTGCTTTACTATGGTTGCTATTTGAAACTATGTTTTAATTGTTATTTGCTTTTTGAAAAACTATGAACCATCTTGACCAATGTAAAAGGATTGAATAAAGAAAAATAAAAACACCTGGCTGTTTAGCAAACACTTCAACATCTTTCAAAAGGAAGGAAGAAAATAGCCTTGATTTATTTAAATCAGTGTTTCTCAACGGGGGCGATATCGCCCCCATGCGGGCGTTTTTCCCATGTTGAGAGGGCGATTAGTAACAATTTATATTTTGGGAGGCGAAAAACAATTTTCTGNCATGCATTCCTTTGTGGTGTTTCAATTTCCCTTTTGAGGAGAGTAAGTATACAGGAGTCAGTATAAATCTAGAAAAACCACGCTTTGGTCACCATGGCTTTCAGTGACCAAGAGAAGCTGCATATGCAGTGGCAAAAAGGATGGCTGAATGCTATGCTGTTCAGGAGTAACTATAGATTGCTGCATGCTATGTGGTATGAAAATCAGTGGTTATTGTGTAAAGATGATGGTATATAGTGAAGAGGCATCATGCCACAATCTTTCTGGAAACAACCAAAAATTGTCATTTGAAACTAAAATAACCACAGATTCAGTTATAGGTGAACAGAGAAATGGCTGTCCATCCACATCACAATCTGATGAAAATATGTCATTAGTGAATGATGTAGTGTCTAGTGTCTACATTGCATTTTAAGTATGCAATGTAGACACTAGACACATCATTCATAGACACTAAGTATGAATCTGCATTTCCATTTAATAAGGTACATGTCAAATAATTTTAATTATCTTTGCTTTATAGATATAAAAATTATAGCAATTTCTCAATGTCTAGTTACTTTCCATCCATGCTGTATATAGTTAAAACACTTTAGCTATTACAGTACTTTTCTATAGTAGATATCACTGTTATATTAAGTTAAAAATTGAATGTTTGAGTATGTAAGAAAGGATATCTAAAATAATTTTTGTAAAAATAAGCTTATTATAAATGAATTATTTTTCTTTTTATCAAAATACATAACATTTCTAACAATAATTAATAACATTAATTACACTAACTAACTAATAACATTTCTCTTTCATTACTTAATGCCAAATGATACCATAATGCATCAGACCATTTTTTGACTACATTGTTAGTTAAATTTTAAGTAATTTGTTATTAGAGTTAGATCTTAAGTGCCATCTCTTATTNCATTAACATTTGTTATATAAATTTGCCTGCTTTTTAAAATTTTTTTTAATTTTAATTTTATGCGTGTTAACATGAATTGAACTGTCAGACTACCTAGTATATATAAAAATAAAACAAAGTAAAAACAAAGATAGTACACAAGTGCAAATGTCCAAACCGTAGGCTACCAGATATAGAGAGGCAGGAAACAGATGGAAATTTTGCCAGAAATTCTGGTTTGCTTTAATTTATTGAAATGCTGCTAGGTTTGCTTTTAAACAATTTTCTCTGTAAAAGTAGATTAGTGGGAACAGTTTTAGAAATTTCTTTTTGCTACTTTTATTAATATTAACAGAAATGATGTATTGCAATGTGCTGCCTTTTAGTAAATCTAGTCAGATAAAACGTAATAATATATCATTTGGTCACTTTCCTATAAATAACGAACTTAAAAGGAAATGGATTGTAGCAATTCCTCGACAAGGCAGGATCTCTTTGGACTCCAAATTGTAGATCTGTAATTTTTCAGCAAACATTTTAAAGAGAAAGGCTACTGTATTAGCACAGCAAAAAGAAAAATTCTTTTGCCAAATATAATTTCCTTGGTTTCTGAAGCATTTTCTAAACATAAACAAATACTTCAGAAGAGTAGGCAATCACCTAAAAGATGATACACTGGAGAAAATTTACAAGTTTAATCACAACCTCTGGTAGAAATAGTTGAAAATAATACAAAATATCATAAGCATAGCATACAATATTTCTTTCACACACACACAGCATTTTCTATAAACAGATAAACAGTACCAAAGGCTTTCAAATTGAATGTAAGGAGTAAGGTTAGAAGAAATGTAAAGTAGAAAGGTCTTATAATATATTTTAAACATGTATTAATTAAGAATTTGAAAGGAAAATTCTTAAAATTTCAGAAAGAAAACAGTATTACAGTACTTTTATAATAGACTTCACACTGAAGCTAAGTGTGGTGATTTAAAAGCAAATCTTTTAATTGAACAAATTGAAGCATTAAGCACGAAATCAAACATCCAGTAGATATCAATTGAAGCGTTTGGGAAATGATAACATAGATACAATGAGTCTTCGGTCAAAATTAGTGTCTTATTAACATCAAGATCATTGACATATAGGTTATTAAACATTTTGCAACTTCTCCATCAAAAATCTCTGAAAACTTGTGTTGTATATTTCAAGGATGAGACAAGCATTACTTTGTTAATAAAAACTAGATTAATAACAGAAGAAAAAACATTGACTTGTGTGTGATAATGAAAAAATTGGATTCCTTTTTGTTGATAAAATGTGAATGAAACCAAAACTTAAAAAAATATGATAGAATTTTAGACATGCTGCTTGATATGAGTGATGTTCATGAAGATGCATCTGGCATTAATGATAAATTAGCTAACAAACTACTTTGTATTTTATTTAAAGAATTATTAACGTTTTACAAAATACCAGTTTTATTTTATTTTACTTCTAGTCTTACTGGAGAACTGACAAGACAATATAGATGAATTTACTGGTTAAAGCTATATTCGTTTGTGAATGGTTCTCTCTTTAATCCGACAAATTCTTTCGGTAGACTATCTTACAAACAATATAGATGCTGGGAATGAGTTGAGGAAAAGGTTTTAAAGTTGTTCATTTTTTAACAAACAACAATGAAGTAAATCTAACATTGTTTTAAACTTTATCCAGGGAAAGCATTAAACACAAAATCCAGCATCCAGTAGATATCAATAGGGCACTATTTTTAAGTTACAATCCACATCATATTAAATATATAAGATCACAGCACTCTGAAAAGAACTTCAATGTTGATAGTAGTGTCATAACTGCCAATCATGTAAAACTTTGTATAATTTACAAAAACAAACACATGTATAGTAAAATCAATTAGAAGATTAACTCGAAAGATTGTTTATCCAAAAAATTTAGAAAAAATGAATATTGGAAGAGCAAAGGTGATATTTTCTCCAAAATCAATTGCATGTTAAAAAGTATGGAAGTCATATGTTAAGGATAAAAATAGTTTACATGAAACTATCAACTTTTTGGAGAAATTTAGAAAATGGTTTGATATTCATGATGTCTGCTGTACAATATATAGAATTCACTCTAGAAATGAAGGGATTACAATTTTTAAAGTATTATAAAAATAAATCCATTGTGTTCTGGAAAATTGTAGTTTTTCAGATGAAAGCAAAGTTAGCCTCTGTGATAGTGATGGTGAAAAGTTGTGTAGATACAATAGAAAATTTTGAAATCACATCAAAAAACAGTTAGAAAAAGTTCCAAGAATGGGGAAAAAAATAGTATCAAGTATGCCTTGTTGCCTACAAACTATTATAGATACATCAATAGTAAATACTTTATTTACATAAACACTGTAATCACATTTTTTCCAACACTCCTTTTACTGAAATATTATTTATATACTATTAATTAATATACTATTATTGCAAAGAAACTGCTTAATAAATTAATTCTGTGGTAATGTTATAGTTTTCAAGATTCTCACTCTATATGAACACTTTTGCAACATACTATATGCCAAATTAATTAAAGTATTATTTTTTAATATAGGACACTAATAATTTATGCCATTCCGCATTTTGTATAAAAGTTATGTTAGATTTTTCTCTTGTTTAATACATTTATAAATATAATTACCAATAATTGTATAATTTATCCTTCCAATTAAATTTTGGATTATAAATAAATAAATCTTTTGGTAGAAGTTACTTTTTGGGACATTTGTTTGTGTGGATATATCAAAATATCTAAAAGTAATTTCCATTAATGTTTCCTCAATCGCATGGATTTGTGAAATCATAGAATTTGTCCATATTTTTTACAGAAAATGAAATTTTCTGTAAAATTTTATTTTCTTCACCTTGTTTACAATAAAAATAATCTACCACCAAAAAGTATTTTGTATAAGGTTTTTTTATATTGTATTTACGTTCCTTCGCCCACTGTTTCAGAGACCTGGTAGAACAGCAACGTGTTTTCCTATGGACAAAAATGATAAATGCCTGGAGCTTCCATCAGTAAAGGACCACAAATCAATCTTTTATAAATTCATCGTTGTAGTAGTAATGTGGAAATTTAAATTTGGCACCATATCTGGGGATTCTAGATTGCCAGTGTGGAGCAGGCGCAGAATGTACTGGCGAAGCACAGAACTTGAAGTATCACTAAAAGAGTATGACATCGATGTTACTGTTTTAAAGGAAGAATTAACACAATATATACAATTTGTAATAAAAAAAAAAGAAGAACTTATTGATGTACTGTACATACAAAGCAATTTGAGGACTAGTTTCTACTTTTCCTAATGTGGACATAATTTTTAAAATATTTTTGTCAATTCCTGTTTCCAACATATTGGCAGAGCCATCGTTCGATGTTCTTAAAAGAATTAAAAACTTATAGAAATTTAATTGAACAAGAAAAATTATGTAATTTGGCAATATTACCCACCGAGAATGACCTTTCAAACGGCTGGTTACAATGAACTGATTGACAATTTTCAGCACAAAAAGTGAA